ATAAATGCCAAGCACTCTTACACGTGAAAAATCAAAGGTCATCTAAAGAAACATATTCTGCTGCTGAGGCATGAATAATTCTGAGGCTGGAATATCCTTTCTAATTTTTCAGTAAGACATGAAAGTGCTACTACTCGATGAAAGCACAGGGGACATGTACCCACCTATGATTAGAATCAGGCACATGTCTCATCGAAATCTGTGTCAGTTTGTGGCAAACTTATCATGGTCAATGTCAACACACCCTTGTTTTATTATCAAGGGACCTGAAAACTTCCCTGTTAAGGTGGAGAGCAGCTATTTTACACTTGCACTTGCTTGACTGAGCAAAACTGCTAGGTCTGTACACACCAGGTACAGATTCTCTTCCTTTTGGTGGTCCGATTACACATTTTTATACTGAGGAGATTAAACACCTTTGATATCAACAGTCATTGTTCTGTTGTACATTTCTCCTTTATAACTCAATATCCTGCTACATATTTATCTATATTCCATACTGAATGGGAATATGAGATGGCTGCTATAGTAAGTTGCATAAAGGTTCTTTTTAGTCTTCTCTCTATCAAATATCTTGGTGTTTGCATGCTATGGCCTTTTTCTTATAGCTCTGCATTCATATTTATGTCTCTCTGCATTTATTGCCCTCTCAAAAACCTTAAGAAGTGACACCAGTGAAGATAAAATAAAATAACCTATATTAATTTATAATAATATCTGCCAGTTCTACACTGTTGCACATTGTGCTTCTTCCAAAGGCAGCTATGCAATTATAAGTACTTGGGTGCATAAAGTGATATGGAGGTTTCTATGGCAATTATTCATTTTAATTGAAAATTGTGTAGGGAAAGACTCATTTCAAGTGCAGCATGCAATTTGCATTTTTTTTTCCCAGAGAATCTGGACTTCCTTAGGGTGAGTTGTGAACTCCTATTTTTCAGGAAGACACAATCTTTAAAATTCTCAGGGGGCAGCAGGGGGTGGGAGACCAAGGTAAGGTTGTTAAGCTTATTAACATTTAGAAGTATATATCCACTTATTCAGTACAGTATTTTTTACTGTCTGGTAAAGATGTGATGATTTAAATGAAAGAGAAAGATTTAAAAATACAATTGATACACAATGCCCTTGAATCTCTGAGGTAGAGGAACCAGAAAAAGACAGAAGTACCAAAAAGGACAGCAAGGCGACAGGTCATCAGTGAGACCAAGTCCACCAGATCAAACATTTATATTTTCATATATTTTAGCTACTCTGTGTTAGAATAATAATGAGGACAAAGTTATTTTGGATCTTAATATATTTTAGAGTGTCAAAGAAAGATTGGAGGGAAGCAGTGGTTTCACCTTGGTTAGATAATAAAAAAAAAGCTATAACCTAATTTCCTGTAGGAAATTAGGATTTTTTTCTCTTCCTTATTCCCATCACTACGAGTCCAACACATTTTAGGCCTAAATTTACAACAAAAACAAAGCAGATGTACTGCAAGTTACGAAGACCTGGAAACAGCCTCTGAACTGTGATTTCACTTTCTCTAAATTCAGTGTTGCCTTTTCTGAAACAAGGCTCTCCTAATTTTTTGTCTACATAATTTTAAGGCTGTATAGGCCAACTGCCAGAAATGTCCCAAGTTAAAAATAGCACCTGTCTCCTTCATAAATAATAAATAAATATTAATTTGATGTGAAAGTTGGGGGTGGAAGTGTTCTTCCAGCTACACAATCCTCCTAACTGAGAAAAACACCTCTTAGAAAGAGGTGGCCAAAGGAGTATGTGAGGGGAAGCAGAAGAGTAATTTTAATAATGTGGTTTTGGTATTAGTGTATCTGGTTCATTGCACTTCTGTACTTTAGAATATCTAGAAGAGAAAAGGAAGAATGACTCCTAACTTCAGTGTTAATGATTGCACCACAGTTCAGAAGAATGCAAAATTACATGAGTGTGATTTTCATAATATTTGTTCCATGCATTTTTAATAAACTGAAGATTAATAATTCACCCCTTGTGGAGACGCACAGGAATTTGAAGGCCACATTTCTTCCAGGTGACTGACTCTCTTTTCCTTTTTCACCAGAAGTTCTATTTTGGTCAGAAAATGGCTTTGCAAGACAGGGGAACCAACTTGCTTGAGAAATGAGCATGAGCATGGAAGGGGTCTCGTCAAGGACAATCCAGCAAGGGAGAGATTTTCACTCCATGGACAATTTCCTCTATTTTTGGCACCTGTTCTGCCATGTGGTGGTGCTCCTAAGGTCTATGGTTGGACTTGATGAGATCTTAAAGCCTTTTCTAACCTTAGTTATTATATATACTGGAAGCTCTCACCTCCCTCATATTCTGCTGGACTCTCCCACCTCTTTTGACACTTACATGCATTCCTTCATTTTACCATTTGACTCTCTCATAATTATTAAAATATATAGCTATAAAAAAAGGTTTCTTGAATTTGTTTTATGCTCCCAGATATGAAAAAAACATACTCTCACTCCTATATGTGCCAGTCATATAAATAACCTATTGAGGGGAAGTAAAGTTCAAAGTAAGCAAATTTGATTTATTTCTGAACATGGCAACACAGAGTTACTCAGCTCTGATGGTGAGAAAAGGCTGCTGGTGATGCTGCTTGTCTAAGCTTCTGTTTTCCACAGAGAACATAACTCTATAGCTATTCAAGCTTCCATTAATTTCAAGGGTTTGAGAAACACAGCTATTAAAAAGCAATGTTCATGGTGATGAAAGGACAAGTAAGACCTGGAGGTTGGTTTTGGCTAACAATAAGAGACAGGTTTGAATAGACTCTGGCAGAGGCATTGCTGTCAATAAATTAAATGCAATGACTGGTTGTAGTAGAAAGCTGCTTTTTTTATAGCCAAATTGTATTCCTGGCTGGGAGAAGTGGGAAATGAGGAAAGAAAAAAAAAAAAGGGGAAGGCTTTACATTTTCACTTGCCATCATTTCCTGACAAAACCACTAATAAATATCTCTCTCCATTTTGGCTCAATAATGCAACCATCAAAAGCATGTGAAGGAAATATCTTTCTTACTTATAGAAACCCATACATATACAAACAGGGAAAATTGCCAGTGGAAGCTGTAGCTTCCCTTTCAGAAGTGGCAGAATGTTTTGCATGCAGGAATTGGATGTACTGCTCACTCCAATTCTTGAGAGTGGAAATATCACACAGAGTGCAAACTGCTGCTGACATAAGACTTGATATGTCCAGCTAAAGGATCTGAAGTTTTCTTCACCAAATGAAGACATTTCCATGTGTAATAGATGCAGAGTAATTCCTCCATACAATTAATCATCAAATATTCCTTCAAGTCATGGGACAAGCTAAAAGTTCAATAAAGACTCTGGTCCCTTAAATTCACACACTTGAGCTCTGCACATTTCCTGTGGGGAATATAAATTGCTTCTAGTACTTACTACTCTGAATGCCATTCAAACTGTTGCTTTAATTCATTATATTCAAAACTAATACAAATTTCAATTATTTGTTGTAAAAGTAGAGGTTTCGCTAAAGCACACAGAAAATTCAACTCACACCAAAATGGCTACAACGCTCAAATTAATGTATTTGCAGTCCTTACATGTCCTTCCCAGCATCCTTTAAAATGTCACTTATTTTATAAAAGATATAGATTTTCTGAGTATTGATGTGCCCTATCAACACACAAGGTGTCTCTGCTTTTAGTTTTGCAGACATTACTTACCCGTCCCAAATCACTAATGATTACAGCTGAAATGAAGGGCTGCATGCGGGCAAAGGTGACAGCACAGGACTTACAGCTGGAAAGTTTGCACCTTATAAACCTCTCATCTTCAATCCCACATTCAAAAGGTACTTATGATTTCAAAGAAATTGCAAATCAAATGATTACACGCTACAGGAAATTAGATAAAAGAGAAAGGAACCACTTCAACACCATCAAGAGATTCTATTCAGCTATTATATTAATAGTAAAAAAACATATTTTGATTGTAGCTTCTGCAGGTATAAAATGACAGGTTTTAGATTCTCTTTTATTGAAGTGCACAGATCCACAAAGTGTTTTCAGTCCTACAAGGTATTTTACACTCTTGTAATCATTCAGCAAAGCATTTGGACATCAGTTCTTTAATTTTGAGCAGAGTAATAACTGCACTTGTTAAAATATGTTCTAGAGTATGTAGCACCTTTCAAAATAAATTCAAGCACCAGAATTTACTGTTGAACTTTTGTACCACTGAAATCACACCAAAGCTTTTACATTTTTAAAGCTAAATGATGAATTAATTAGTCTTAACTTTAATTTCTTTACAGAATCTACTACAATCATTACATTAACATTATATTATGTAAAATGCAATGCTTTTGCAGTTCAATTTGACATCTACAAATACATAGCACTTAATAATGTCCTTATTTTTGTAAGGAATGGATGTTTTCCTGTCTTTTGTTCTTCACTAATTTAACTAAAATGTAAAAAATCTCTGCATGGAAACATTGGAAACATCTGGACACAAAATCCAAGCATTTTTGTTAGCTGTTAAGAGCAGCTATCATAGCAACTGTTCATTGCACCAACAACCAGACTGCTGTACACTAGTGGCAAACTGTGGGATTATATACATAAATGTAAAAATATATAGAATATATATTTATGCATACACACTAATAAAAATGAGTCACAATTTTTATGGGCTACTACTTATTTCGCCACTCATAAATGCTCTTCCAATATATTTTTCAACAATGCAAAATTATCTTAAAAGAAGCCTTTCAAATCCTATTCTTGTTCTTTAATAATTTAAACATAATATAATGTGCAAGAGAATATTTCAGTGAATCCCAGTCAAAAAAATAAAATCACATAATAATTATAATGGAAGACATAAATTCCTAGAATATATGGGAAATATATTCTCATCAGAGTATTAAAGAGAAATGGTTTTAAACATTTTTTTCTTATAAAAAAACACAGTGCAGAAGCATGAGTTCAGGAAAGAATTTACCTTTCTTGTCATCGAAGTACAGTGTCTGTTGAGCTGGATTTGACCACTGGAGGGAGGTGTTATCATTTTGATCGACCCTGCAGGTCAAATTTGCTGTTCCACCTTCAACAACTGTGACGTTCTGTGTGAGTGGGAACTGCCCTTGACTGCCTGAGGAGGGAGGGAAGGGATGCAGACAGGAAGACGAGAAAAAAAAAGAAAATACTTAAGTTGCAGGACTGAATTTATTGCAGCAGCTTCCCACAGATGATAGACCCAGAATTCAATGTGATCTATTCTGACCAAAGAAAGGTAGCACAATAAATTTTTTAAAACTGCATTTACAATATATTCCCTGTAACCAAGAAACAGCTGTATGAATTAAGAAATAAGGGTTTCCCCCCCCCTCTTTTTCCCCCCTCTGTGAGTCATACTCTTTAGTTCCAAAGAAATACTCAGCATTTTTGTCTCCTCAGACATACCGAAGACAACTTAGTGCAGGCAATGCAGTTAAATCATAGTTGAAAACATCACTGAGAACATAACACAAAAATCCACAGAGCTTTTAACAGAGAGGGATGGGGCAACCTTGACTCCCTGTTTCTTTTTTATACATTTTGCAGGCCTCTCAGGATGATGCTTTCTGTGTCAGGTTTGGAAAGTTGTTGGAGAGCAAATGTAGTGTGAATCAAACACTTGATGCATGCTCTGTTGGGGGAATATAACCTGATCACATATGAAAATGGAAGAGGTGATGTAGTAGGTCTCTTTCACATCTGTGATTCTATCCCAGAGCATTATCAATCACTTTAAGTGCCTGCTGAAAAGTCACTGGGAAGGTTTCCAAATGCCTCTACACAATGCAGGAGCAGTATCAGTCAGGTTCTTGAATCACAAGCATTTCCAATGTCATAGTTAGACTAAAGTGTTTATGTAGCGTGAGGATCGCACGCCCCTTGTCAAACAGCACAACACATTCTGACAAACAGGACTGCAAGAAGTGAGCACAGAAAAAACCATGGAAGTGGTTTTTAACATGGGTGGGGAAAGAGAAAAGAAATCTTCAATAATAAACAAGACACTTCATTGAACATATGGTTGTTATCTAGGAGATATATTATTTATTCAATGGTACAATGCAAAAGAAAGACAACCTAATACTCCAAATGAAATATATGCTTCTTTCTTCTGCTTTTGTAGAGGTTCTATTAAAAGAAGCACTGAAGAGTAGGTAGAGATGCTTGCATAAGAAATGTAATGCCAAGATTGACACTCAAGTGGGATGTGTCAGAAATTAAAAACCTCTCTACAGTCCTACAGGAGGGAACAAGTTCATAGATGTGTCACAAGCACATCAAGGAAATAATATATACAATATCCATTAATGATACAATACAAAATCATAAACCCAGCATAAAACCTTCAGAGAAATATCCTATTTTAGGGGCTCTCATCAGACTTGTTCCCAACTAAGTTAAACTGAGGCATGTCTTCTATACAAAAGCATGATAATACAAAAATCTATTATCTAGGATAGAGGTTTGCAGATGACCAGAGGAAGGAAGTACTAAATAAAAGATTAAAACCTGAACTTCTATTTGACCTACTGATATTGCACAAAACAGAATTCTAGCCAGATTTGGATTTCCCTATGTAAAATAATCTCGATGGCCTTAGACATGGAACAAAACCACACCCATCTGTGAAATAAATAAAATATTTCAATCAAAATGCAGATCTGAATAACTGGTATAATTTTTGTATAAATATCAGATATCTAAAGATTAAGATTTAGAATGTACTGGTATTTACTCTAAGAGGGTATTTACTACCAACAGGATAACAGATATAGTAAAAAAATTAGGAATACTAAAAATACCATAGCTAATTTAAATGCTGCGAATAATAAATGCCAAAATTCTCATGACATCCTCTGTATCTGACACTTCATTAATCAAACCCTGCTTCTTGAAAACCACACATAGAGAAATATATGATGAGAGAAAAATCATAAACAAGGATGGGAAAAAAAAAAAGAAAACAGAAAAGATTTGTAATTTCCTTCCATTTCTGCTCTTTCAATTCCAATGTGTCAAGGAACTTTGAGATATTGCATAAATTGCTTATCATATAAATTAGAATTTTTTTTTAATCCAGAAAAATGCACACAGGCTGTTATTACTTTCACTAAATTACAGGCAACTTACCAAAGAAATAACCTTCTAAAGTATGAACTGTGAATAGGAGGCTGTGTGGGCTTAAACACTTTTTGCCTACAAGAAGCATAAAACAGAACCTAGTGCCAGATATTAGCACAGTGAAATCTGTCACTTACATTAAAGAACAGGAATGGGAGGTAGTTTAATAAAGAACCTGCTGTAATGATTCAGGACCCTATTAACACAGATCAGGAGATCTCCCCATAATTACTCTGTGTTCTCTGTCTGATATTACAGCTCTTGTCATGAAGGTGCCAGTGTACATGCACTCCATCATTTGCTAATGACTGCCAAGTCATAGACTCATCTCTGGTCAAGAAGTAAACTATTCTGATCAACCATATAAATGGAAACTATAGATGCCATAACCTGAATAGGTCAGAAGAATTTTCTTTTCTCTGGCCAACCTAGTGATTGCTGATGATTTGGAAACAAGAATTAATTTAGAATATAAAAATAAGACCAAAACGTTTGTCTTATCTCTTGCCCACAGAGAATCTGTATGGTTCTGGAGAAGTTGCACAGACCTTCATGGGAAGTTTGGACTGAAAAAGAGGTACAGAGAAAATGAGAGAAAATGTAATATGGAAGGTAGCCTGAGTAGAAAGAAGGGAGTCTTTGCAGGACAGAGAAAATTATATAAAGCAAGTCCAAATGAATGGATACTGCACTCCTCTTAATGAAGACAAAAATTATTAGCAAGTGATGGGAAAACTAAGACAAAGAAAAACTTATGAGATTTACTTTACTGTTTACATCTAACTTGGGATACTGAAATAGGGCTGGAAGGACAGGAGAAGGTTGTAAAGCCCTATATGAAACATGTGAACACCAAATAAAGCATCAGCATCCTGCCCTTTAACTACAGTAAAGTGTCAGAGAAGTGGTTTATGCTACTAGAGACTCCTGGTTCTTGAGGATCTGACAATATTTTGTGGGAGAGCCCTTGTTTCTGTTAATGTCCCCTAACAAAAGCATTCCATCTTGACTTAACAAGTCCAGTAATGGAAAATTTACTGGCCCCTTCAGTGACTTATTTCGAGGAGTAACAATCACCATTGTTCAAACAAAACCACAAAATCCACTTCTGCTCTGCATTTGTCTTGCTGTAGCACTCAGCTTCTACTGGCTCTTGTATCTTTTCCCCTGCTCTGAAGAGTCCTCTCTTATGAAATTTCTCTTGTAGGTACTTAGAGACTGTGATCATATCACCCATTAACCTTCTTTTTGATAATCTAAACAAATTGAGCTCTTAAGTCTTTCTGCAGAAATCTCATTTTTCTAATCCTTTAATTAGTCTGTGCCTCCTCTCCGTGCCCTCTTCCATGTGTCCTCTCCTTTCTGAAGTGTGCAGCCCAGCCCTGGAAGCCCCCCTACTGCAGTCACAGAAGGCAGAAACCCAAAGGTGATGCCACTGCTCTGCCAGTCTTTGGTATTCTTGTTTGCACTTAAAAAGAGTCCCTTGGCCCCATGGTCAGACCCAGGTGTGGCTGAAGGTTTACCATGGAGCTGGCATTTTTCCTCAGACACCCTTCCAGTTCTCTTCACTGCACTGAACACAGCTTTTCAGGTAAGTTCAGTAGAATTTATTTCCTATTTAACTGAGATGATTGACAGGTATAATTGAGATAATGAATATGACAGGGATGCTGACCATCCTAAAGACAGGGGTTACCCATCCAGCTTACTTGCAATCCTCCCAACAAGCGGCTGGAAATGGATGACATTTCCAACCTCCACCAACAAGTCAAGTCAGCAAACACACACACACACACATATATATATATTACTGCTTGTATGGAATACACTAAAAAAGACTTAATAAAAAAAAAGAAAAACCTGATGGCCATGGCCCACATTAACAACTCCCTTGCATCTGAAAACGAAAAAAAAACCCAACAAACCTACAAGGTTATGCAAAGGTAAATTACAACAAGAAGTGATATTACTGCAAAAAGGAGGCTGCATCAAGGTATCATTGTCATCATGTTGTATCCCAGCCCCTTTGCTAATTTTAAAAGCTTTCTTAGCAACATTATTTCAACTTTTTGGACTAGATGGAGCTCTGTTGAAGTATATTCTACCACAGGCTGTTTCCGCAATGCTTTGTGGAGGACCAGTCCGCATATCTCATTAGCCACAAGCTGTTTCCTGTCAAGAAAGGCTTTTTATTTTTCTCCTTTCCCACACAGAAATCATGGCTAAACTGCTTTTATATTTAGTCCTGATTTTTATCTCATTATGTGTCAAGTCTATGTAGAATAATTATCATTATTTGGTCCAGTTTGCAAACATTCATCATGTGAGTTCACCTCATGTTTTTTTGCTTATGCTTGGGTTAGGTTTTGTGCTTAGTTTTGTGGCTTTGGTTTTTGTTGTTTTGTTTTGTTTGGTTTTTTTTTTTCTTTTTGCAATTACAATGAAAGCTCTTTAATGAGTTTAACACTCCCACTTGATGCTTAGGTGATACATTCTAATCAATTTACCAGGCTAATTATAAATGTGACTAGGTGGCTGTAAGCACTAAGAAAACATAATTCTTTCTTTAGTTTTGTTTCTGTAAAGGTCTCTTTTTGTAAAGCAAACAGTTATGTCACAAATTAAGAGCATTTCGCATTATCAGGGCAGCAAGCTTTGCCACTCTGTATCAGAAAGGCAGAAAAAGAAATGGTTTTAGTTAGAGAGTGTGGCCTGGAAAAGAGGTGAGAGAGACAGCAGTGAATTATCAATGTTTTGCGACATTGGTTCTACTTTTGAGAGCCTGGCAGACCAGTGTCCCCATGAGGTAAATTAAGTTTATCAGCATGTAAGAGGGACAAAGTAGAGTATAAAGTTTTATAGCAGAGATTTATCCTTTTCAGTCTTGCATGGAACCACAAATACATGGGCCTTTTATTCAATACCTCTATAGCATGGTGTCATCCAAAACCAGAGCCCATACAAATGCAAAGG